AGCTGTGCTTTTTTATATTCTACCACAATGAGGCCTCCAGTGTCTCTAAATCCTTGTCAACACTTAATATTGACTGTTGCTTTGATCATAGACATTCTGTTAGTTATATAGTTATATTTCATGTTTTTTTAATTTATGTGTCCTTAAAGACTTATGACATTGACTGCTTTCACATGCACTTATTACCCTCTATTAATACAGTAATGGATTCAGTTTGCTAACATTTGTTTTTTGCTCCATATCTGTTCATGAATGAATCTGTTATTCTCACATCTTTTCTGTTAAAATGATTTTTCTTGGAGAAAGACTTGAGAAGTGTGTTTCCCTTATAGTTTTGGAAAATGTTTGAGTAGAATTGATTTAATTTCTCTTTAAGTATTTTGAAGAATTCATGGTTGAAGCCATGTGGGCATGGGATTTTATTTCTGGAATTGATTAATAGTTTTGTTTATTATAGGTCTACTTAACTTACTGTTCTTACACAGTTAGTTTTAGGGACTAGTAATCCTTCTAGGACATAGTTTATTTTATAATATATTGATATTGTTATTAATATTACCTCATTTTTTCTATAGTGAAAATAATTATTTCCTCCTTTCATGCCTTATTTGGGTCATTCACTCATTAATTAATTAATTAATTAACTAATTAATTAATTAATTCTACTTTTCTTTTTCTCTCCTCCCTCACTCTTTCACTGCTTCCCTCCCCAAATCACTTCCCCAAGGGAAATTTATCAATATGATGTTACCTGAGACACTAAGTGATCAGGGGCTACAGGTGCACACCCTGCATAAAGGACACACATTACCTTAAGGGCTGAAACATGGCTTCTTCCCCTGCTTCCTGGGAATTGGAGAAAGGCCAGCTGCCATATACACTATGGTATTGTGGGCTAGTAATTAGCCACATGGCTTGGGGCCATTTTCATTTTTCTGAAATGTGTAAGAGGAAACCCACAGTTAGCTTCATGGATCTTCTCTGAATCTCTGACATATTGTCATTCTATGGCATTTAGATCCCCCCTAATAAATCTCTTATCCAAAAGGAAAATCTACCTCAGTGTCCCTTGTGACCCCTGAATTTCTGAGACCTTTATTGTAGCATGATCAATTAATTTGAAGTACTTCCTTTTTTGTAAAATAATATTTACCTCTTTCTTGTTCCTTTTTGTATATTATGAGGTTTTAATTTATTTTCACTCTACTCACTTTTAATTTTAGAAATTTGAGCCACATGCTGTATAATTTCCAAACAAATAGAACGGTTCCTGGATACTTTGCACCACTGATTTAGAATTTTGTTCTGTTTTTACTATATGATACATTTTGAAATGAATCTTTTAGAATTGTTTAAAAATTGTTTTGCGTCCTAGCATTTGGGCTACTCTAGAGAATGTTCTTGAAATGGAAGAATGATCTTCTCTTTTTGAGTGAAATGTTTCATTAACATCAATTAGGGCCCACTGATTGACAGGAGTCTCATCTTCATTTACAACAGTTTCCCACATCATTACAGCAGCTGTTGAGAATGGGACATTTAAATCTCTAACTCTAAGCACTGAAATATCTGCTTATCTTTATAATTTGTTAGCATTGCTGCTAATATTACAAAGGTCTCTAAAGGGTCCATATAGATTTAAAAGAGTTGGATTTTCCTGGTATACCAATCATTTTATTGTAAAACATCTGTATTCTTGTTTCTTTTTTTAAAATTAATTTTCATTTAAATTTAAAAAATCTTATTTCACATACCAATCTCAGTTCCCTCTCCCTTCTGATCTCCCATACCCCCACCAACCCCCCAGTCCCACCCCCTATCCACTCCTTAGGGAGGGTGAGGCCTCCCATGGGGGATCACCAAAGTCTGTTACATAATTTGGGGCAAGACTTAGGTCCTCCCCCATGTACCTAGGTTGAGAGAGTATCCCTCCTTAGGGAATGGGCTCCCAAAGCCCATTTGTTCACTAGGGATAAATACTGGTTCCACTGTTAAAGACCCCATAGACTGCCCAAGCCCCTCAACTGACACCCACATTCAGGAGGCCTGGTTCAGCCATATACTGTTTCCTCAGCTATCATACTGGGATCTGTGAGTTCCCACTTGCTCAAGTGAAATTTGAGGGTTTTGCCAGCATGGTCTTGACCCCTTTGCTCATCACTCCTCCCTCTCAACAGCTGGATTACAGTGCTTAGCTGCTTCCATCAGCTACTGAATGAAAGCTCTATAAGGGCATTTAAGGTAGTCATCATTCTCACTATAAGGGAAGGGCATTTAGGGTAGCCTCTCCACTATTGTTTAGATTCTTAGTTGGGATCATCCTTGTGGATCCCTGGAGATTTCTCTAGTGCCAGGTTTCTCATTAAACTCATAATGGCTTCCTCTAATAAGGTAACTCTTTCCTTGCTCTCCTTTTCTGTTCTTCCCCCAACTTGACCTTCCTGATCTCTCATGTTCTTCTCCCTCCTCCTCTTCTCCTTTTCTCTTTTTCCTACCTCTTTCCCATTGCCCCCCCCCCCCCATGCTCCCAATTTACTTAGGACATATTGTCCCTTTCCCCTTCTAGGGGTTCCATGTATGTCTCTGTCAGGGTCCTTCTTATTTCCTAGCTTATCTGGGGTTGTGGACTGTAGGCTGGTTATCCTTTGCTCCTATGTCTAGTAGTCACTTATAAGTGACTACATACCATGTTTGTCTTTCTGTGTCTGGGTTACCTAACTCAAGATGGTTTATTCTAGTTCCATCCATTTGCCTGTGCATTTCAAGATTTCATCTTTTTTTCCAGTGAGCAGGAGCAGTTCTCCATTGTGTAAATATACCACTTTTTTTTTTTATTCAGTCTTCAGGTGAGAGGCATCTAGGCTACTTCCAGGTTCTGGCTATTACAAATAATGCTGCTATGAACATAGCTGAACAGATGTCCTTGTGGTATGAATGCATCCTTTGGGTATATGCCTAAGAGTGGAATTGATAGATCTTGAGGTAGAATGATTCCCTCCTGAGAAACCATCATACTGATTTCCAAAGTGGATGCCCAGGTTTGCATTCCCAGCACAATGGTGGAGTTTTCCCCTTTCTCCACATCTTCTCCATCATAAACTGTCATTAATGTTTTTGATTTTAGCCATTCTGACAGGTGTAGGATGGTATCTCAGAGTTGTTAATAATATTGTTTACCATTCTAGTTGACAGCATGAACCTGGGAGAGCAGGGCCAAGAGATGAGGCAGACTAAAGTCTCATGTAATAGCCAATTTTGTTCAGAGCACCAAGCAACTTTTACTCTAAGAGTTAAGAAGAATCACATGAGTAAGACGTTCAATCACAAGGACAAGCTTTTCCATAGATGCATATGAATAGCAACAGCTAAAGTTAACTTGCTTACTTAGCTAAACCTGGGAGGAGCACCAAATCACATTCCAAGAATAATTGTGTGTTTCTAAGAAACTGAGGTCATAAAACTCATGTCTTGTTCTCTCATAAGCACTCAGAAATCTCACACAACTCCATTCTTGTCCTGTGTTTGGACAATTACTCTCTTTAACATTCCTTTATTTGCCATTACAGATATTCAATATGTAAATGTTTAAATAGTATAGTTTGCATAGTGATATTCTATGATTTTTTACCTTACATCTAAATATTGAAATATAAACTAAACTATTCTTATATATGCACAGATATAGTTAATGACTTTAAAATCCAACCTGGTTATATTTAGAGTTTTTAAATTGGAGTGTTTAGTACACTTATATTTATTGTACTACTAATCTGTTTGGGTTTATACCTGCCAGTTGCTCATTTCTGTATGTCTCTTATATTTTTTCTCTCTGCTTCACTTATTTTTGTTAAGAAACATTTTAATGCCCTATTTTCAAATTATTTATTCATTTATTTGTGTGTATGTGTGTGAGTATCTATGCCAAAGCATATATGTGGAAGTCAATAATCCTGTTGAATTTTTAATTGTCTTTTTCCAATTGCTGGTCAGTGAGGATTTAGAAATTATCATATGTGTCTTAACATGCTGGGATATACCTCGGTGGCTTATTACAATGAAATATAGCAAGTCTCCCATAAATACAATGAATTCTATCAAATATAGCTTTATTTTTCATTTTTATGGTATTATATTCAAATGCATGGTATATAAGTATATTATATGCTAATGGTTTTCAGCATTACTTGATACAATATGCCTATTAAGGAAATTTTAACTGGGAAAAATTAACTTATTCTTTTATATTTACCTACATTTCACCTTTTTAGTTCCTCATTGTCCCCTGTTGATTCTAGCTAGTACCCCGCTAATTAATTTTTAAAGTTTCCAGTAACTTTTATTTCTTGTTTGTTTAAATGTGAGAACGTCCTCTTGTGCATTCATTTTTAAAGAATATTTTGTTGGCTAATTTTCTTTTGTTGACTGATTTTCACTTAGGTTTGGGTTTCTTTCTCCTATTGCTCTTTGGCATCCCCTGTTTCTGTTGACAATTTATCTTTTAACAGTCTATCACCTGAGCTGTAAGAATCCCTGAGCCTCAGCAAATAAGCTAGATTCCCATTCTTACAACTGAAGGCCAAGAGACCTAAGTGATTATTTTGACTGGTGAATCTAGGCTTTCTGCTTCTCTTTTTATTTTTTATTTTTTGAAAAATTTTTTTTACTTAAATCAGAAACAAGCTTGCTTCACATGTCAATCCTAGCTCCCTCTCCTTCCCCTCCTCCCCTGTCCCCCCTCCAGGCCCGTCAGCCCCCCACCCAATCCCCACTCTGTTCCCCAGGGTGGGTAAGGCCCTCCATGGGGGTCTCCTGAGTCTATCATTTTGTTCAGGGAAGGGTCTAGGCCCTCTCCCAAGAGATCAGGCTGAGAGAGCCTCCCTCATTGTGGGATGAGCACCTGAAGTCCATTTGTATGCCAGGGATAAATACTACCCAAGGTTCCATAGATTGCCTAGGCCTCCTAACTGACACCCACAACAAGGGGTCTGGATTGGTCCCATGCCATGGTCCCAGCCATCAGTCTGGAGTTCAAGAGCTCCCCCTGTTCAGGTCAGCTGTTTTCTGCTTCTCTTTTACTTTGAGGGTGTTTGCTATATGTATCACTATATGATTTGCCGCCCCACCCCCACCTCACACCTTTAAGTACAACAAACTACAGAAGCTTAAACATGACCTTACTTACCTGGGAAATTACCAGGCAAAGTATGAGTGATTAAAATGGGCACAGACTATTTGTACCTTAAAATTGGAGAGAGCGGAGTTGGTGACCTCTAGCTTTCCTTCCCAAGCAACCTTGGGTCTGGGATGCTCTGCAACAAGTTTGATTTATAGAACATAATACAGATGACTCTGGGCCAGTTCTACCAAACTGATAACCTATGCTTGAGATACTGTCAGGGTCTCCTCTATTTCATTACTTTAACTGAAACAAAGCTATCATGCTAGGAAGAAGCAGCACTGTAGAGAAGTCCCCTGGAGAGACACCAAGGCACTAAAATCACTGGCTAATAGTCCCAGCGATGAGACACCAGCTTGCCAGCCATGAGAATGAGCCATCTGAGGAGTACATCTTCTAGATCCAATTAAATGAACACAGTTCATTCCATCTGCAGCAGAGATGAACCCTTCCTGCCAGACCTTGCCCAAACTGTAAATTTGTGAGCAAAATAAATGATGATTGTTATTTCAAATCACTAAGTGTCTGGGTGGTTTGTTACATAGCCATAAATAACTGGAACATTAATTTTCTGCCTCCTTGAGGAATGGGATCTGGGGATTAAAGCTAAGAACAGTTTCTATAAAATCCATTTATCATGTACCTAGCAAGTAAGAATTTTCATAGCTACAAAATTAAATTGCAGAATTACAACCTTAAAAAAAAGACTGTGTTAGTAAAGCTTGCTGTTGTTAGTAGAAGGTAGTTAGGATATTGAGGAATGGGGATGTTTACCTAGAGATTTGTGAAGCAAACAGGGAGGACATATGAGAAAAGACTCAGATATTTGCTACAGTAATCCTTACTTGGTTTGACTCAGTGATAGAGAACAAGCCTTGAGAATTGGGAGTTCCAGCCTTGACTTAAGTTTGATGCCAGTAGAGGCTGGTAATGGGTTGGAAGATTTCACATGAGTACGAAGCATAACCATCAGACTAACGAGAGAAGACCAGCATACTGAAGGAAAAAGACAGGATTAAGTCACACTTTTCTTTTTGTCTAGATGTTCTTCATGGCCTGCCCCCTATGTTGAGAATCAGTAGTCTGCCTGTGAATCCAATGTGACTCTAGGAAGGCCACACAGGCCCAAGGCAGGGTAAAAATATATAGCAAATATTCAACACAGTACAGGAAGTCTTTTGTTACCCTGCTAGAGAACAGAACCATGAGACCCTCAGTGCAAATGTCATGGGGGAAATGGTTGATTGCCTATCATAGGCAAAGTCAGAGGATTCCAGCACTTTCTATCATGAGTTCATGGGAGACTCTTCTATATTTTTGGCCTCTAGCTTAACAAGCAGACAAAACAGGGAGTTCAGAACCAAGAACATCTGAGTCATTAACTCAATAGATTAGGCATAGCTAAGGTGTTTAAACTACTAAATCAGATTTAGTTGACAGCTATATTGGCTTTGTGTCTATTCCCATTACATTATCTAATGTGTGGGAGTTTCTTTGCAAGGTCAGAATGCTTAGAGATGAAAACATAGAAAATATAATTTTTGTTATCCATGTCAGCTATAATGAATATATATTTAGTCCCTGATATATATTTAGGAAGAATTTCCTAACCGAGAATTTAGTAAGATTGTGTATTCTGTGGAGATATTTTCTGAAGTGAAAAGCGTCTCAAATATTTCCTTTTGCATATGTCTTTTGACTTTTCTCTCTCTCTCTTTTAATTTAAATTAGAAACAATCTTGTTGTATATGTCAATCCCAGTTCCCTCTCCCTATGCTCCTCCCATGTCCCCCAGCGATACCCTATCCCATCCCCTTTCTGCTCCCCAGGGAGGGTAATGCCTTCCATGGGAGATCTTCAAAGTCTGTCATATCATTTGTAGCAGGGCCTAGGCCCTCCCCCAAGTGCCTAGGCTGAGAGAGTATCCCTCTATGTGGAATAGGCTCCCAAAGTCCAATTGTACACTGGGTATAAATACTGATCCACTACCAGAGGCCCCATAGATTAACCAGACCTCCTAACTGACACCCACATTCAGTGGTTCTGGGTTGGTCCTATACAGGTTTCTCAGCTATCAGTCTGGGGTTCATGAGCTCCCCCTTGTTCAGGTCAGCTGTTTCTGTGGGTTTCTCCGGCCTGGACTTGACTCCTTTGCTGGTCACTCCTCCCTCTACAACTGGATTCCAGGAGGTAGGCTCAGTGTTTAGCTGTGGATCTCTGTTTCTGCTTCCATCAGCTACTGGGTGAAGGCTCTAGGATGGCATTTAAGGTAGCTGTCAATCTTATTATAGGGGAAGGGCATTTAGGTAGCCTCTGTGCAATTGGTTACATTCTTTTGAAATTCATTTCCACTTGCTATTTTGTATAATCAATTTTACATAGACCAATGGCAAAGATTATTTATTTTAGGTTAAAATTAATAGGAATTTGTGACTCTGAATGACAGCTAAATCTATCTGTAGTAAACATTTGTGGATTAGAATTATGAATTTATTATTTACAGGTTAAGTGAGAAGTTACTTAACACTGCCTACCTAAATATTCTCATCTGATCAGTGCATACAATAATAGTAATGCACCTGTCTTAATTTCCTTGTTAAGCAATCAATGTGTGCTTAAGTTGTTCTCATATAGCAAACCCCATACTTGATCTTTGCTATCATTGCCATTCATTTGTTTGTGGAATGTAGAACACATTGAGATTCTCACCTGAATGTTTCCTGTACCCAAAGAAAGCCTTCTGATGCAAAAAGTAATTAAATGGCTTTAGGTCAACCAGGAAAACTGTGTTCTCCAGATTATGAACTCTGAAGGTGGTAGGAGATATATAGTCTGTTTAGTCCTTCCCATTACCTTCATATTAAAATGGTCAATATGATGACCTGTAGGCAAATGACTTGAGTTCTGTGTAGTGGCCCTAGGGGTGAGCAACAGACTTTCTTATACAGCCCTGGACCATAACTCGTATCCACAATATTAACTACCGATATCTTTAACTTCACTCAGTATGCCAAAGTCCCATTAATCTTTACCTAAAATAACTAATCTATTGACTTAGCATGAAAAGTCTCATACTGAAATAGATGCTCTTTGGGTAAGATTGGATTGCCGGTGTCCAGTGAGGTGTGACTTCAGGCTACATGTAATTTGCTTTTATGATTAACAAACCTGCGTTTTTTTCACTTTAATGAAAAATTAATAATAACTATTGCTATCACCATGGGTTAGACTAAAGTGTCACTGACAAAGCATAGAGATGGTTTTGAGAGGTCATTGAGCAGTGTTCTTTGTAGTCTTTGTTTTAGATAGGTATCTTTAGTGTTACTATTCCAAACATTCTTCCCAGAAAAACCAACAAACAGGGAATAAGGAAAAATATGTACAGGACTAAACGTTATCTTACAATCAATTCAGAAGAATCAGAAAACAATGAAAAATTTCCCTTGAAGAATATAAAATAACCTTCATACCATGTACCTAAGTCAGAAGCCAAAATGACATCTGTGAAGTTGGATGGAAAAATTAATTCAAGAGCTTCAGGGCAAAATCATTAGGCTGGAAAATTTTTCACATAAATTTGCAACTTCTTAGGGCTAATAATTCCACAGTGTTGGGAAAGTCTAGTCACATGTTCATGATACTGCTGTATACCTGCATATTGTTCTTTGGGAATTGAAATCATTTTAATCAAACTAGATCATGTTGAGGGTACAGCTCCCTGGGACTGTGAACTCAGATCTGACAGTATTACCCATTTCTTAACATAAGAAGACCTATAGTTAGTGGATCATTGCAATTTTGCATAAATGTTTGCTAGCATTTACCTAGTAAGTAAAAATCTTGATAAGTAATCATTTGTTTCCAACATAAAATGACTATGTTGTTAATCTAATAGAACAGTAAACTGAAGCATTGCACTGATGATATTGACAAAAGCAGCTGGATATGTAGATCAGTGGCAGCAAGCTTGCCCACTATGTGCAAGTCCCTAGATTTGGTCTCTAGAACTGCAAATAAATATACCCCACGATATACCCAGTAATACTGACATTATACATCTGTAAGTACATGATGTGATGATTTGTAAGCTTTTGTAGTTTTACACATGTACAAGAGTACAGATAAGCCTATTCACAATATGCACAGAAGTAAACGTTTTCAGGGACTTAGTAAGAGTCACAGCATAAGATGTTATATACCAGGAGCACAAAATAGAAGGCTATGAAGGGTCTTTCTGAGGTAAATCTGCATCAAATAATAACCACATTTAAAAGGCATAAGGGAGTCCTCATAGGAATGAAGACAATGAGAACATCCCCATAAAAGTTTCATGTCAAACTGAGATAAGGGTGGGTGGGGTTATTGTGGGCAATTTGATGTCACAGGATTCAAACCTTCTACTGAGACTTGCTGTCATGCACATTAAAAACATTTTGTTCTTACTGCACAGTTAGGCATCTATGTACAACTGAGAAAAAAGTACCCATATTGAGGAATGTGGGTGTATATACATTTGGAAGATATTATCTTCTTATGAGCTTATATAAAATTGGAGATGAATTTTCTATTTCTATCTCAGAAACTATAGGCAAGATAAATTAGCGATTTAACTTTGTGAAAACATGACTAGCTATTTATGTAAAAATAGTAGATCATTAAATTATTTATGCTGTATATGTCATCCTTTGTATGTGCATTTAGAGTTAAAATTGTGTAGTTATATTATAAGTATATATTAACTGACATCCAGTTATGTTATCAAATTTTCATAAAAAATTTGAAAATGAGTAGAATTTCATCATTGTCATTTTTGTACTTGTTTACCTTAAAAAGTCTATCTTATAATCCAAATGCTTCCAATAACCTATTGAAATTATAGCTTGTGCCTAGATGAAAACAAACTCCAAAGCAAACCTAAATCTTACAAATGGTAGCAAACATCCTAGCAATAAGCTTTCTTACAAAGAAACGGCCAATACAAAAATGCCTACTGTTAAGGTCTAAAAGTTGAGAGGAAGAATACTGTTTTGTTCCCTTGGTTACAGAAAAATCTGTAAAATATGCCTTTTATTCTCTGATGGGAATTTATGCATGTGTTTATATTGTGTAGGAAGTGGTAATACAGAGAGTCTGATGTATACTTATGGAGTGTTTTTTATTAAGCAGTTTTCACGTAAAAGCTGTTTTCATCAGTTAATTAAAATATGCTTACCCAAACATTATTCTTCTGTATAAAATCTTCTTTATCCATTCTTCGGTGTGTTTTTTCTGCTATCCCCAACTCACAGGCCTTCTGCTTTGAAAAAGGAAATAACTCGGAGTTTTGTGGTTAGCGTGAACTTTGAGAGGGGCTCAGTGCTTTTATCCCCAGCTGTGGACTATGAGAATCACTGTGACTGAAACAGAAGAGAAGAAATGTTGGCCTCATTTCCTCTTTATGTTCCTTCTCGGTCTTGGAAACAGGCAGAAGTGAGTCATACACAAGGGACCATGAGAAGATGGAAGTGATGAGAT